ACATTTATAAACCCATATATATTCTAATGTTTTTTACACAAACAGATAAGCCATTTGCTACACATGCTGATCTACTTTCCTTTTTCATTCAACATTGTTTCTTGAAGATCTTTCTAAGTCCGTTCATATAACTACCTCTTTTTTTTTTTGATTCTTTTTTTAACAGCTCTATTGAGATATAATTTACTTACTATAAAATTTACCTGTTTTAAGTGTACGATCCAGTGATTCTTAGTAAGTTTATGGAGTTGTATGACTATAACCACAATCCAGATTTAGAATACCTCCATCAGCCCTACAAGACCCCTCGCGCCCGTCTGCAGTGGCTCCCTGCTCCCAGCCCCAGCCCTGGGCACCACTCATCTGCTTTGTGTCTATAGATTTGCCTTTTCTGGACATCTTCTGTCAATGGAATCACACGATGTATGGTCTTCTGTTCTGGCTCCTTCCACTTGGCATCGTGTTTCTCACCTGCGTTTAAACCACTGCATTCAATGCATCCCATGGTGCGCACGCACCTTCATGGTTTATTTCCCTAGCGATGAACATTCAGGTTGTTTCTAAGCTTTGGCTTTTATAAATAGTGCTGTGACGAACATCCTGTACACATTTGTCCCCCTGTGTGGGTATTTCTACCGGGTAGATTTCTAGAAGTGTAATTCCTGGATCAGAGCGTGTGTGCGCTGAAACAGATAAGATTAATTGCCTTCTCTAAACATTGTACCTATTTACTCTCCTAATAGTGGATGAGAAAACTGTCTTCTAATCTGGTGGATTCTGACCCAAAACTATAGGATGTAGACGCCTCTGCTTGACTCCTGGCAGTGGCTCCTCCAAACGACTGGAGTTGTCCCTTTGTTCTTCTGATAACTTTCTTCATAGTTTTCCCCTTATTTTAATGACTAAAAGCATTTTTATTGTGACTAGTGCGTAGACTACAGATTGTAGAAAACTTGTGTTTATAGCAGAAAGTATCACAGTGCAATGGATCACAGGTATCTGTAATCTGGGGAAAGAAAGAGAATGTTATCAGGACCCTCAAAAGCCCCAACGAGCTCCTCCTTGATGGGTTGAAACCGCGAATAAAGAAACCGCGATTAACATCATCCAAACTTTTGTGGTAACCATCCCTTTTCTTTAGAGTCTGCACTTATGTTTGTGCGAGAGATTCGTCCTGACCAATTGAGTGCAGCTGGAACTCTGTCTCCCCAGATTCCTTTCCTGGCGTAGGCCCAGGTTGGCGTTGGCCGGAAGAGACTTTGGGTGAGATCTGGAAGGCCGAGTGAGCAGAAGCTGCCGTCTCCTTATGCTCCGGATGGTCAGCGCAGGGCACCAGACGCTGTTACACACCCTCGCTACCTGCCAGCTCCTCTGGTTGGCGGGGGCCAGCACCTGGGCCCGCAGCCCCTCCTGCTCCCGAGCCAGGTGTGTGCCGACCTTCGTGATGCCGGCTCATCTTCGCCAGCAGGCCATCCGGCCCCGTGTTGAACTTGGAGGCCGTGAGACCAGCACAGGTTTCAGTCTGTCCTCGCAGGTTCCAGCTTGTCCTCACTCTTCTCCGCTTTTTTAAAAAATATTATTTTATTGGGATCATATTGACTTACAACATGGTGTAAATTTTAGGTGTATGTTATTATATATCAGTTTCTGCAACATGCTCACCACCAATAGTCTAGTTTCCATTCATCACCATACATATGCGGCTCTTTAGCCCTTTTGCCCTCCCCTCACCTCCTTCCACTCTGGTAACCATGTGTTTGTTTATCTTCCACATATTGGTGAAATCATACAGTATTTGTCTTTCTCTGTCTGACTTATTTTGCTCAGCATAATACCCTCAAGGTCTATCCATGTTGTCACAAATGGCATGATTTTGTCTTTTTTTATGGCTGGGTTGTATTCCATTGTGTATAAATACCACTTCTTCTTTATCCATTCATTCCTTCTTGGGCACTGGGGTTGCTTCTAAGTCTTGGCTATTGTGAATAAAGCTGAGATATGCATATATCTTTTGGGCGTGTGTGTGTGTGTGTGTGTGTGTGAGGAAGATTAGCCCTGAGCTAACATCTGCTGTCAATCCTCCTTTTTTTGCTGAGGAAGATTGGCCCTGAGCTAACATCTGTGCCCATCTTCCTCTACTTTATATGTGGGACCCCTGCCGCAGCATGCCTTGATGAGTGGTGCGTAGGTCCACACCCGGGATCCAAACCGGCGAACCCTGGGCCGCCGAAGTGGAATGTGAGAACTTAACGGCTGCGCCACCAGGCCGGCCCTTGCAGATATCTTTTTGAATTAGTGATTTCATGTTCTTTGGACAAATACCCAGTAGTATTCTCCGCTTCGTGTGCATCTTTCCTTCTCCCCTGTCTGCCCTGCCACTTTCAGGACCCAGCAGCAGCAGCGAAGACCACAGCCTGCCCTAGACTATTCAACCAGCTCCCACAATTGCATCCAGTACAATCCCTGTAAGGAGTTGCTCCTCCTAGTGGCCCTGCTTTCTAATTGGACTTGGTGTGGTAGAGCATGTGTCTCAACAGAGGGTGTAGTTTTGCCTGTCTTTGCACTTTGTGTTGGACTCCGATCGTCTCATTGACTGTGCTGCCTGCCGGCTCAGAATAGGGTGGCCCATCTGAGGCTGCTCGCCCATGGCCTGCGCCCCTGAGCCTCAGCTGCCCTTCCTGCTGTCAGATGACTGACACGTGGACACCCCCAGCACCAGGCACGGCTGAGTCTAGGTGCTGAGGAGTAGACGGGCCCGACCCCTGAGAGAGGAATGCTCTGAGAAGTTCAAATATATATTTTCCCGTCTATTTCTAAGGTGCCTGAAATGTCACCATTAGAAAAGCAAGTATCTGAAAGAACAAACCGAACTAGGAATTTTTACACCAGCTCTGCCTCTGTCCAGCCACGAGGTTTTGGTCCAGTTGCTCTGCTTGGGCCTCAGTTTCCTCATTTACATGTTGAAGCGTCGGCCTGGGGGGTCTCTAGGCCTCTCTGGCTCGCCTATGCATGGGGGTGCGGTTCTCTATGTGGGTCTATGTGCAACGAGTTTCAACGTGACATGCGAACTGGGGTCCTTCTTCGTATCGCCCAAGAGAGACTGGAAGCTGTCCCCACCTAGCGAACAAAGAGAGGTCATCCTGCAGAGACCAGGGAGGGGCTGTGGTGGAGGAAGACGGCATAAACTCGGCGGACAGAGACAACACAGGTGGTGTTACGTAAGTCAAAGAACATGCAAGAGGGGCTGGTGCAGACTGAGCAGGCAGATCCAGGCAGAAAGGTGCTGGGTCCTGACACAGGGCGACTCGGGCCTGGAAACATCGGAGGGAGGAGAGAAATCAACAGCTCAAAGACAGGCCCCGGATTTGCCCCGTCTTAGTGACGGCTTGACTAGAAGATTGTTTGTGCCAAGACTGTCTTTATGAGACAGAAAGAGAGAGCGAGAGAGAGAGAGGAATAACTACTAACAGAGTTCACGTAAGAACAGCTCAGGGTGTGCCTCCTTGCTTCTGGCTTCATTGCAGCCTCTCACTTCCCTTGGAGAAGAATGTTTCCTTTAGTCCTTGTTCAAGGAAGAAAGCGCAGCGTCCCAGACCCAGCGTGAGACTTGGTCTGTCTCCTCCCCCCATGGTCCTCTCCTCTCAGGAGCTGTCTGGTCCTTCCACTGCCCAGTCAGGACACCACTGCGCCCTCTGGCAACTCGGGAGTCTGGTCAATACATGTTCCCTCGCCTTTCCCTCCTGCTGAATCAGAAGCTGTTCTGAAGGCTCGGCCGGAGCAGCACAGTCTTCCTGGAGCCTGGGCTCAGCGCCGCGTCTGGCACAGAAGCAGCACGGAACAGGGATTATTGTTGCTGAATTAATCCTACTTGCTGGATGCAAAAGGAAAAGCACTAGCATGAGCTGGGAGTGGTCGGTACCTGCCCCCTTGAGCGCTCTGGCTCGGAGGTTTGGCCTGCCCTGCAGGAGACGCCTCTTTCACAGCCGCGGCTGCCATCTTCTTGATTCCGTGGTCAGACAGCTGTTAACACGAAGGGGATCGGAACCTGGGGGAAGTTGGAGGACTGTGAAGTTCAGTTCCCCGTTCTCTCTTCTTTCCTTAGGAGGTTGCTCAGGGTCAAGCCCTGTGACCAGGAGCTCTGCAAGGTAAGGCCCTGTCTGCTTTGGTCACTGTGAAATCCCAGAGCCCTGGAGCAGTTAACACTCCACAAGTACTGTTGAAGGAGTGAGTCAAGTCCTTTGTTTTGTCTGGGTGACATATTATAAATCATTTCCCCGCTCTGCACGGCTGCCCTTTGTCAAACCCTGAACGATGGGCGTGTGTGTGTATTGGGTGGGAGAGGGGAGCGACGAAGGGAGGTGTGTACTGGGAGCTGCTGGTTGAGCTCAGCAGAGCTCTCTGACTTCCTGCTACCCAGTCTGGCTGCTTTGGTGGACTTGACGCTTCTAAATCCACCCTTGACACTCTTTTTTTGGCTGGGAAAGAGTCGCCCTGAGCTAACACCTGTTGCCAATCTTCCTCTGTTTTTTTCCTCCCCAAAGCCCCAGTACGTAGTTGTATATTGTGTTGTAAGTCCTTCTAGTTTTTCTACATGAGCAGTCGCCACAGCATGGCTACTGACAGACGAGTGGTGCAGTTCCACGAAGGATTAGAACCCCAACCGCTGAAGCAGAGGGCACCGAACTTTAACCGCTAGGCCATCAGGGCTGGCACACCCTTGACGCTCTTGACTACCGTTCCACCCAAGGACATGAGAGGCACTAGATGGTCCCAGGACACATTCCCTTCCATGATGCATGTTCAGCAGCCAGAGGCTTGGGCTGGGGATGAAGGAGGCAGAAAAGCCAGCCATATTCTCTATTTCCATCCTTCTCTCTGTGGACCCAACAACAGCAAAGGCATGGCTTGACTGTAAAGCCCCTCTCTCAGGACCTCTGCTCACCCTTGCCCGAGATCTCTGTAGCAGTTCAAATGCAAGTAATGGAACACCCACCTAGAAGTGGTTTATACAAAAAAGCATTTAATTGTCTCTCTTAACAAGAAGTTACAGGTAGGTGGTTCCAGGGTTGATTCAGTGGTTAAAGTTCACCTTTTTGGAACTAGGATTTTGCTTCCAATTGTGGTAAAATATATATACAACATAAAATTTACCATTTTAACCATTTGAAAGTGTATCATTTAGTGGCATTAAGTACATTCACATTGTTGTGCGACTATCACCACTGTCCAGCTCGAGAACATTCTCACTACTCTGAACTGAATTGTGTACCCATTAAACAACAACTCCCCATTTTCTCCTCCCCCCAATCTCTGGTAACCACTGTTTCACTTTCTTCTCTTTGAATCCAACTGTTCTAGTTACCTGTGTAAGTGGAATCAAACAATATAAGTGACTGGCTTGTTTCACTTAGCATGACGTTTTCAAGGTTCATCCAGTTGTAGCATACGTCAGAATCTCATTCCTCTTTAGGAGTGAATGATATTCCATTGTATGGACATGCCGCATTTTGTTTCTCCATTCATCTGTGGATGGACGTTTAGATTGTCTCCACCTCTCGGCTGTTGTCAATAATGCTGCTGTGAACTCCGACAAATATCTGTTTGAGTCTCTGCTTTCAGTTCTTTTGCTTACACATCTAGAATGGAAATTGCTGATCATATGGTAACTCTATGTTTAATTTTTTGAGGAAGCGCCAGGCTGTCGTGCACGGTGGCTGCACCATCTTACATTTGCACCAGCCTTGTACAAGGGTTCCAGTTCCTCGATATCCTTGTCAACACTTGTTATTTTCTGTTTTTCTTTTTCTGATAATAATCATCCTAATGGATGTGAAGTGGGACCTCATTATGGTTTTGATTTGCATTTCTGTAATTATTAGTGGTGGGCTATTTGTATATGTTCTTTGGAGAAAGAATTTTTGAAGAGAAATCCATTTTTGAATTGGATTGTTTTTTAATTTTTTTTTCTGTTGACTTGTAAGAATTCTTTATATATTCTGGACGTTAACCCCTTATAAGACACATGATTGGCAAATATTTTCTCCCATTCTGTGGTTTGCCTTTTCACTCTGTTAATAGTGTCCATTCATGCACAGAAGTTTTTAACTTTGATGAAGTCCAATTTATCTATTTTTCCTTTTGTTGCCTATGCCTTTGTGTCATATCCAAGAAATCATTGCCAAATTCAATGTCATGAAGATTTCTCCCTATGTTTTCTTCTAAGAGATTCATAGTTTTAGCTCACATGTTTAGGTGTTTGATCCATTTTGAGTTAATTTTGTATATGGTGTAAAGAAAGGGACCAATTTCATTCTTTTGCATATGAGCATCTACTTTTCCCAGCACCATTTGTTGCAAGACTATCCTTTCCCCATTGAATAATCTTGGCACCCTTATTGAAAATCATTTGACCCTTTATGCTTAGGTTTAGTTCCAGGCTCTTTCTTCTCAGGTTCTTTTGATCCTCTGGCTCCATCAGTCTAAGGATGTTGGGCTTTTTGCCCCATTGTCACAAAGTGGCTGCCTCAGCTCCACATATCATACTCTATAACCATATTCAAAGGCAAGGACCAGGGATATATGTGTGTGTGTGTCTCTCTCTTTTTAATCAGGAATATTTCTCAGGAGTCCCCTAGCCCCAGCAGGCTTCCTCTTAAGCAATGGTGCGTTGAAGCCAGTTTGTATCTGCTTAGGAAAGCAGATTATTACATTCTCTAGAATTTTGTGAGCTGATTGCTAAACACCACCACCCTTCAAATGGCCATGGTGGCAGCATTTAAACCAGGGAACTTGGCGAACGCTGCAGATCACGACATTTTCCCCAGAAGTGGAGTTGACCAGCACACTGTTAGTCAGAACGGGGTGATACGGCCACTCCTAGCTTAATGGGGTTTTGGAAAGTGAGCATCTGTCATTCTCGGCCTCTCTCAAGGGAGCTGGACCACGCGAGCAGGCGGCAAAGGGAGAGCTGGGGAGGCACTGATGGTGTCGCCACTGATGGCTCCCAGTGGCAGGAAGGTTTTGTAGTCACTTGAAAGAACGTCTTTCAAATGTCCCGGAAGACAGAGTGCTGTGGGCTCAGCAGACGGGCGGACAGAGCTCTGGCAGCAGACACAGCAATTCTGGCAGGGCTGGGGCACCAGGGCAGGCTTTCCAAGCCACACAGCGGGCACCCGGGAAGCACGTGGCCTCGGAACTTCCTGTAGCCACGATGGCGGCTCCTTGACCCGGAGACTGTGAGCAGCCAGCGGCCGTGAGGCTTGGAATGGGATGCTGAGGGGAAGGGAGGAGCCGTGAGGGGCTGCCACAGGGGCGGGGCGCCCTAGAGCGTGATAGAAGTGTTCCCTGAAGAAGAGCCCACAAAGGAAGGCCTGCTGTCCTTGGCCAAGAACTCCTTGCTGACCAGGCCGTGGATGGCCATGATCCTGAGCAGTCCGTGGCGAAACTTCTGGCCAATGAAGGCGTAGATGAGGGGATTGAGGCAGCTGTGGAAGAAGCCCAGAATCTCGGTGGCGTCCAGGGCCCGGTTAATGTCATTGCGACGCACACAGGTCTCCTGGATGACCTGGAGCCTCATGAGGGTGTCTGAGACCAGGACCAGGTTGTAGGGCAGCCAGCAGAGCAGGAAGACGAGCACGACAGCAAAGATGACCCGCATGGCCCGGTGCTTCTGCCCCATGTGGGCCTGAAACAGCGTGCGCAGGGTGAGACCGTAGCAGAACAGCATGACCAGCAGTGGCACGAGGAAGCCGAAGGTCTGGGGCAGGACCCGCATCACCATCCGCCATTTTGTTGTGTTGGCGCCCATGTCCTCGTAGCAGACTGGGCCAGAATAGGGCGGGTAGATGGCCTTTCGGAAGAGGAAGACGGGCAGGGCCAGGATGAAGGACAGGATCCAGATGCCCAAGCATATGAACTTGACCCAGTGCCGCTTCTGGGTCAGTGTGCGTGTGGCGTGGACGATGGCCAGGTAGCGGTCCACGCTGATGCAGGCCAGCAGTAGGATACCGCTGTAGAAGTTGACTTCCTTCAGGAGCGAGACCAGCTTGCACAGGACTGTGCCAAAGGTCCAGCCCTTTGCCTTGGAGGCGGCCCAGATAGGCAAGGTCAAGGCAAAGAGCAGGTCGGCTATGGCCAGGTTCAGCAGGTAGACATCAGTGACAGAGCGGCTGACCCGGGTGTATAAGACGACCAGCATCACCAGGGAGTTTCCCAGCAGGCTCAGCAGGAAGACCAGGGCGTAGATGACGACCAGGGCATATGTGTTCATTTCCAGAGTTTCTGGCCGGCATGGGGCCGAGTCCGGTAGAATATAGGGCAGGTCAGTGTTGTAACTGTAATTGCTGAACTCTTCATCATAGTAATTCGCAAAGTTAAATTCTCCCATACTGGAGGCGAACTTAAATCCTGGCCTAGAGAAGAGAGATGAGTGTTACTGTAGAATAACATCTCCCCAGCTTCTAGCCTGTCTGCCAATGAACCTCTCTGTGCTGGCTTGTACACTACCTGGAAGGAACTGTCGCTTCCGGAAGTGGTGGGGGCTCTATGGTTATAAGACACATTTAGGATAAATGGTACATTTCAAAAAAGAGTATGGGTCCCTTCAAAGTCAGACAGGTTCTTAGCATTATCCATGGCATCGCCATCACCCCAAACAGTGTTGAAACTTCTCTTCGGATAATCCCTACAGAACGTGTTGTCTAGATCTCTCATTGGAGAGCATCTCTCATTGTTGAGGCTGAATTTAATGTCCGAAACACGAGGTACCATTCAGTTCTCAATCTGGGGCATTAAGCCCGCAATCTCATTGGAGCCCCAGAAAAAGATCCAGGTTTGACTATAAAGCTGAGAGATGAATCCCTTTGTCCACCTTTCTGAAAGTTATTTGAAAAGGAGAGTTCTGGAAAACAAGTTTGAGCCACGGCAGCGTGCAGTCTCAGGATGCAGGAGCCCTGCTCTGGGAGTATTTGTGTGGTTCGAAAAAATATATTAAAAATTCTAAGCAGGTGGCTGACGGACTCATTGTCCAAGTGGGTGGCAATATAACAGATTATCTTGGAGTTCTGGGCAGCCCCATTCTGCTGTGCAGCGGGGAGCAGAGCATATGGGGGAAGGGCAGCAGGGGGCAGAAGAGACAGGTGGAGACACACTATTCTTGTTTTGGTGGCTTTTCAGTCCTGGTGGGGCCCCTTCCTGTCCTGCCAGTGCCTGCCTTCAGCCATCCCTGACTCCTCAGCAGCCCTAGACCAACCTCAGGTAAACCCACCTCTCGTTAGCTCTGCCCTTGTTGCAGGGGGAAGCTTCTAGGGGAAGCTGCAGCCACTCTGAAATATTACCCTTATTTTCAAAGAGGAAGTAAACTAAAGTAAACCAGCTACTGAATTAGCTTTCTTTTGAACCACAGACCATATCAAGCCAGTTCTTTTTTTTTCCAGGGGTCCATCATTATATTTCAATTCCTGTGTAGATTACATCATGTTCACCACCCAAAGACTAGTTACAATCCATCACCACACACACGTGCCTAATCGCCCCCAGGCATTTCTTTATAACAAGGTATGACCATCCTTTGACCACAGCCAAGTCTGTAACCCACCTCAAAGTGAAACCCGGTGTTCAAGAAAAAAACGTAGAGTTAAAAGTCTCAGGAATTCCTTTACATTCACTAGAGTGATCATAATAAAAAGAGATGGGCAATAATGATGTTGATGAGGATGTGGAGAAATTGGACCCCTCATACATTGCTGGTGGGAATGTAAAATGGTGCAGCTGCCTTGGAAAACAGTTTGGCAGTTGGTCAAAAAGTTAAACGCAGAGTTATCATATGACCCATCAATCCCAGTCCTAGCTGTGTACCCAAGAGAACTGAAAACGTCCTTCCTCACAAAAACTTGTACATGAATGTTCACAGCAGCTTGATAGCCAAAAAGTGGGTCCAATCCAAAGGCACATCAACTGAGGATAAACGCAGGGTGGTGCACACACACGATGGAATCTTTCTCAGCGCAAAAAGGAGTGGAGTCTGACACACAGTGCAACACGGACAATCCTTGAAAACATTATTCCACATGAAAAAAAGCCAGACACAGTGGGCTTCACACTGTATGATTCCATGTATGTGAAACGTCCAGAATGGGCAAATAGGTCAAGAGAGAAAGTAGACTGGGATTGGCAGGTGCTGGGGGGCGGGCAGATGCTAATGAGCACAGGCTGTCTTCCGGGGTGATGAAAATGTCCTGGAATTCACCAGTAGCGATGGTTGTACAACTTTGTGTGTATACTAAACACCGCTGAGTTGTGCACCATAAATGCGTGCCTTTCATGGTGTGTGAATTATCTCTCAATTTACAAAAAGACTAACTAGAGGTATATAGCCTGGCAAAGCAAATACAAGTATTAAAACAACAACACCACCAACAGCAAAAGTCCTAGGAAGCTTTTCCTATTAGCAGGAGAAAGTCTGTTACTGTCAATCATGTGTAGCAGAGAATGGTTTAAGAGAAACTGGAAAAATAATGCCCTTTTCCTCTAGAGTGATAGACCTCATAGGCTTTGCCTTCCTGGGAAGGTATTCCTTTCTTCCCTAACTGAATGGGGGCTGCATAAATCGCCTTCTCAGCACAGGGAGAACACAGATAAAGCAGGCTCCATCAGTCCATGAACCTAGGAAGATGCGATGATGAGGAGGGTGGGGCCCTGTCTGGCCAGGAGGATGGGGTGGTGGTGGGAGAGGCAGATAGTAGAGCTGGCTCAGCCAGTGTTGTCAGCAAGACCTGCTGGAAGTCACTGGCTCTGTAGTCCCACGGTCACGAGCAAGTTTGTTCAGAGGCCCAGGGTTATGTTCAATGAAGTCAGGTGGTCACCTCTGCCAGCAGATGATCAGGGATGCTCTTAAGGGAACAAATGACCTAAGAGAAGACCCACCTTTGAGAGTGGGTGCAAAGCATGACAGGTGCAGAGAGTTTGAGCCCGTGGAAAGCAGAAGCCACATTCCTGAGCAGCAGCTGTGAGAGGGCAAGGCTGGGGCAGCCACAGAAACTGCCCCAGCAGCCAAGTGTGTTTCACAGGGAAGTCCTGCTGCTGGGTAATCAGTGTTCGGCTGTGCTGAGGGCGAGTGTGCACTCCCTGGCAGGAAGGATCAGCTTCAGGGTCCAGCAGGCAACCATGCCAGTCAGGACAGAAGGCAGAGAACTCAGGAAAGAGAACCAGGCCCGGGCAATGACCGCCCGCCACTGGTGGGAGAATGTTTTGTTGTTGTTTTTTAATTTACCAGTCTCTGGAGAGGATGTTCTGACAGTTAAAGGGAGAAACTAAGGGAAGAGAGATGACATATCTGAGATCTGCTTTGTGCCTCGCAGCTCCATCATCTCCCTTGATCGTTACACGTGGATATGATTAGCCTGTGAGAGGATAGGCACAGAGAGGCTCAGAAACCAGCCTGTGGTCACACAGCCTATGAATGCTGCATCCAGGATTCCAGCTAAGTGTGAATGGCTCCATGAACTATTTTCAGTCTACAGACCTGCTTCTTAAGAAAAATCACACCTCAGCTTTTGACTTTTAGCTCAGAGGAGGCCAAGGTGCAACTTTCTTCAATTGTCTTGAATCCAGGTTCTTCTGACACCAGCTACCTCCACCATGTCACCTAAGTCCAATCCCAATGAGATCAAAGTCTTATACTTGAGGTGCACAGGGTGGGGTGGGGGGAGTTGGTTCCATGTCTGCCCTGCCCCCCAAGATTGGCCCCCTGGGTCTGTCTCCATAAAGGCTGGTGATGACATCGCCAAGCAACTGGTGATTGGAAGGGTCTGAGGGTTACAGTGAAACTGACCATTCAGAAGAGACAGGCCCAGAACGAGGTGGTACCTTCTGCCTCTGTTCTGATCATCAAAGGGCTCAAGGAAGCGCCAAGAGACAGAAAGAAGCAGAAAAACACTAAGCACAGTGGAAACCACTTTTGATGAGACTGTCAACATTGCCTGACAGACGCAGCACCCATCTATACCTAGAGAACTCTCTGGAACCAGTAAAGAGATCCTAGGACTGCCCAGTCTGTGGGCTGCCATGTTGACGGCTGCCACCCTCATGACATCATAGATGACATCGACAGTGACGCAGTGAATGCCCAGCTAGTCAGGAACTACAAAGGAAAATGTTTCAATACAGGATCATTTGACACCAAAAAGAAAAATAATCACACTTCATATATTAAATATATTTGTAAGCTAAGTTCTGGAGCTATCATAAAGTCAAGCTGTATATAGTTCACTTCTGTTATTTGATGTTTTGTGCATTGCTTTCTTTGCTATTCTTTTGCCCCAGAATTAAAGAGACAGACCTTGCAGGAACACCCTTGAACGTGCTGACGCTTACCGACCACCCAGTCATGTTCTCGATAACCAAGCAGGAGGTTCCCTCAATGAGCAAAGCTGCCAGCCCCTTAATGACTCATGGCAGTTCAGAAACTTCATAGACTGGATGACTCTAATTTATTTCATGAAAATGCTGTAGTATGGGGACATTTATAAGATCCCAAACATTTAAGGCAATCTTTTTGAACAACAACGACAAAAAATTCAAACCATCATTTTAACGCAATTCCAGTATCCTTTCTCTCTATAAATGTAATCAGCACATAATTGCAGTTAACACAATGCAATAGGGGACTCCGCAGTGTGTGGCAGTCCCCAGCCCCAGTCCTGGCCCAAGCGGAGAGAGATGGCCGGGTGGGGAAGGGAAGGAGGCGGGCAGAGAGGCGCCTTAAGTGGTTGTTGAAGGAGAGCGTAGGGAAGAGAGGCAGAGGGTCTCTTTTGGGGGTGAGGGGGGCCTAATGAGAGAGAATGAAGAGACTGAGGGTGTGGGCGAGGCCCACCCAGGTGAGGGGATAGATGCTGGGATTAACGGAGGCTGGGGGTCAAGGGGCACAGAGAACAGAGTGGTGCTGGGCGAGGGGAGGGCTGGGCATTCCAAGACTTACCAGGACTCTGGGCTCTTCACCTGTAGGCCGCCTCCAGGAGGGCAGAGCTGCCTGACTGAGAGGGCGCGGCGCTGAGAGCTCGGCGGAGGAAGTGAGCGTGGATTAGATTGCCCAATGCTGGGGTGGAGCCCCCGAGGGTGCCAGACGCTTTTGATTAATTTGAATAATTAATTCCCAGGTCAGCTCTTTGACGCCAGTCGTTTTAGGGACTGGTGGAGTTCATATTGGAAAAGGACCTGTGGCGTTTTCTAACCAATCTTTCCATTGCACAGATGAGGAAACCAAGGCCCCCACAAAGGAAGCGGTTTGCCCAGGAGCACACAGATTCCTCTCATCGTTGCCCCATCTCAGCAGCCTCTTCCAGCAACCTGTCTGACTCTCCCACCCCCCAGCTGCCCCGGCTTCTCCGTGCTTACTATCCAGACGCTCTGCTTCTCTTGAGCATCTCTCACATCTCCTAGGTGAACAGCTGATTAAGACAACCGGGATGGAACCTAAGCTTTGGGCAAGTCTGGAAGCTTCTGTCCGAGGACATAACGCCTCCTGTCTCCACCCACCCACCCACCCCGGGAACCCTTAAGGAGCCCCACAGATTCCTTCTCGAAGCCACATCTCTTTGAGAAACCCCACACCTGCATGGGAGCCCCATTCCACCTCTCCTTGTCTTTTGTTTCACTCCCCAGCCATCTGCTCTGACCACGAGGCCCTCTTAGGGCACTGTTCGTTCTCAGCTGATTCACTCGGGGGTGGGTCTGCAGGAACTACCACCCCCAAGACCATCCAGTTTGGAAAGAAAGCCTTTTGGTAAAAGTGAAGATCCCACCCAAGTTCAAACACATTTTTGAGAACAGAGTTGAATGACACTAAGAACCTACTTTGTCCCATTTACTATTGATTACCATTGAAAGGATGAACACAGGCAGAGCAGGGGACACGAGTCCCCCCTCCCTCCCCAGCTCTCACCCAGCGAACAACGCCTGATGCCCTGCTCTACTCCTCACCTTAGCCTCCTGCATCTGGCACCCCCTGCCCCATGGAGCGCTCACAGCCCACGCAGACGCACCGAACTGCCTTCCCCAGGGGAAGAACCTTTGACTCCAACTGTTCAGCAAATGTCATCTGTGTCAACCCCTCTCTTCCTCATGCTGGAGAAGAATGCGAGGACTCCTGGCCAGGGGATGCTAAAACCGGAGGCTCATTACACACAGAGAGCGGTGGATGGGAGCAGCGGTTAAGAACTTTTGCAAGCTGAGCAACTCTGGGCAAGTGACCTTTTTTTCTGAGTCTCAGTTTACTCATCTGTAAACTGAGGTGGATGACGGAATCTAACCCATGGGGTGGTGCCGAGTTGAAATGAGGGATTACCCGTAAAGCACTTAAGACACGTGAAGTGCAATGTCGGCGTTTATTTTCATGATAATTACGGCTGCAATAGTTGATCAGCTAACAGCAGATGCCTCCCCACTGCATCCCCCAGCAAGGGAGGGCAGCGGACCTGCCTGCAGGCTGACTTTCATCTTAACTTGCTCTGACCTGGATAGCAACAGTCATGTTGGCTGTGATGGGGAGTGTCGACCAGGGTCTAGCTTCCAGGAAAAATACTTTCCAGAATTCGTAGCGTTAATCCTTACAACAACCCATGAAGTAGGCACTTTCTAAATGAGGAAACTAAGACTCTGGGAGTTAAGCAACTTACCTAGAGTGACGCAGATGAGCTGGGTTTTGAGAGTTTTTTTCACCTGACCTCAAATCCTGCATTCTGCCCACTGCAACATGGGACCGGATCCCAGACTCAGGTTTCCGAGCTCTGTTAGGTGCCTGTCTATCCCAGACAACTGAACAAGGTGTAGAAAGGAGAGCCCAGACCTGACATTTTCCAACTGGCCCACTTCTTTATCTTCAGTTTGATTTTGCTTCCACTGAGCCCACCAGAGGCGGATGGATGCAGGCGCGAATAAAGAAGCAGCATCCAGTCCTGGCTCTGCCGTTAGTGGTCAGAGCGAGTGTGGACCAGGCTTTTCTCTCTGGGCCTTGGATAGTGAGATCGCTACTTACATTTAAGTGAATGAACATAAAATAAAAAATACAGCTCCTCGGTCATACTGGCCCCATTCCAAGGGCTCCACAGCCACAGGGGACTAGGGCCTGCCGTACTGGACAGTGCAGGTACCAAACACTGCCATCACCGCAGGAAGTTCTCCTGCACTGTGCCGTCTGGGCGGAGACAGTCATCTTTAGCTCCGGCCTCTGCAGTTTGTCACCTCAGTTCTCAGGGGACTCAGAGGAGGAGACTGGAGCTTCCAAGTTCTTTCCATCAGAATATGCCCGCCCCCAGCCCGCAGAGCAAACAGCTCACCTACCTGCTTTTGCTTGACAGCTGCTGGTGTGACTGGAGCAGCCACTGATACCTCCGCTGTGACTCAGGGTGTGGTGGCAGTCAGGGCTGTTGGACAGGAAAAAAGTGAAGCAGCCTCTGTGGAGAAACTTCTGACTTGGAGCTGCTGAGGGGGAAATCCAGGAGGCCCACCAGGGGAGGTGTTCCCACAGAGGAGCAGGGAGATCTGTCCTGAGACTCTGACTCCAGGCCAAGGCTCCGCCTGGCGACTCTACCGTGGGTGTTGGGGATTTTCACGCCTTCCTGTCTAATGGCTTCTGGAGGAGCCTGCCGGTCTGAAGGTGGAAGTTGGCCTAGTCCACCTCTGCCTCTGAGCCTTTTGAATCTGCACCTCCTTCTTGACGAGGAAGATGCAGGCAACCCCAGTGCCCGCCGACAGACTTGCCTGAATTCGCGTGCACGCTTTCTTCCTTCCTTCTAGGGTCTGCGTGAGAAGTGTCTCTCCTCTTTCTGGTGGGTTCCTGCACGTGGCTCTGGGGCCCACTGCCTCTCACATCCTTGAGGATCCTGCCTTCTGGCCCCCTGCCCCTCAAACATCTCCTTCTTTCAACTTGCTTGCCTTTCTCTCCCTCCCTCCGTTCTACCCGCTTTCGCTACTGCTCTCCCGTGCTTTCTTTTTCACAGGCAAACTTCTTGAGAAAGCAGAGAACAGCTGCTGTCCCCACTTCACCACCTCTTCTCTGCTTAACCCACTGCAACTGGCTTCCTTCCCATGTTCTGCTGAAACAGCTTTTGCCAAGGTTACCCATGACCTCTGTGTTGCTAAACCCAATAAACCCTTTCTTAAATAGAACTGCTTTAATCTAAAAATAAAGCATGCATATTGTAGAGGACGTAGGTGATACAAAAGCATATAAAGCAAAACATGACAGATTCCCTCTCGTCCCTCTGTTCACCCATATCTGGTGTACATCTTTCCAGACTTTTCCCACGCATACACACCCATGCATCACCTAACAATGGGGACACTTTCTGAGAAACGCATTGTTAGGCTATTTTGTCATTGTGTGAACATCATAGAGCGTACTGAAGGGGAACAAAATTTGCCACCCCAAAATGTGTCTTCTTAACATAAGGATTATTTTAGGCTCATTATTTTTAAGAAACAAAAGACTCAGAAAGTCTTCCTCAGTGCTTCCTCCTTAACTGCCTAAAAGAATTCAGACAAAAACCTTTTCTCCCGAATTGACCTGTCACCTTAGCATCGTGAACTGGGTGGTGGACGGGGAGGAACATAGACAAGCCTGTTGGTTGGGCTCCCCTCTGTGTTCTTCTGTTTCTGTGTGGCCAAACACTTGTTTTCCAAATGTTTGCTCCTTTTCACCTGCCTGTGAATTGCCTGCCTTCCCATTAAAGAATCTGACTCTCCCCACACCCAACATCCTCTTTTGTCTTTAGCTGAGCGTGGTATTTAAGGTCAGGGCTTCGGGCATTTTGGTGAGTTACTCAGTTTTCCTGGGTTTCTCCCATATATCACGTTATTAAACTTTTGATTGTTTTTCTCTTGTTAATGTGTCTCATGTCAATTTAATCCTTAGACCAGCCAGAAGAACCTAGAAGGTTAGAGGAAAACGTCTTCCTCTCCACAGCACTTGCACAAACCTGGATGGTACAGCCTGCCACACGCCTATGCTAGATGGTACCCATCTTATGGAAATACCATCATATATGCAGTTTGTCCTTCACAGAAACATTGTTAGGAGACACATGACTGTCAGACATGTTTTCCTTCCTTAATAAAAATGATATTTAACTAGTTATATTGTTCCGCACTTTACCAAATATTATAGACCTATTCCATATCAGTACACATAGATCCATCTCACTTTTTTCAGGGGCGACATAGTGGTCCATGGTAGGATGTATCATGATTTGTTTGGTAATTACCTTATAGATGAATATTTGGGTTCTTGCCATGAGCATCTTTGGGTGTAGGTCTTTGGGAACTTGGATGAGTGTTTTTGTAGCTTCAGTGTGATTTTGCTGGGCCGTATCTGTGGATGTTTAAATTTTGATAAATACTACCACATTGCCCTCCAAAAGGGCTGTACCAGTTTACTCTCCCATCATCAGTTTAGGAAAGGGCCTGTGACCCTACATACTCGTACTCTCTCATATTTGTCTAATATGTTAAAATACTTTCTCCCAGCCTGCGCTATGCTTTGTAACTTTATTTGTGGTGAAGTGGTTGCTGTTCAAATCTTACCTTATCAGATCTCTGCATCAGTTAATCCCACTGACTCCGTTCTCTTCTGGGTCACATTTACTGCTTTACTTTGCAATTCATTCCTCAACTATGGTGGTTCCTTGAGGGTCTGCCTGGGTCCTCTTCTCTACCTGCTCTCCCTAGGCCAGCCCACCAGCCTCCTGGGCTTCAGCCTCCACTCAAATGTGCCAGTGTCTCCTACACCCATGGTTCCCAACTTCTCTCCCAAGCTCAAACTCTTACATGCAATTACCTCCTGAGCTCCCCCCTGAAGTCCCACAGATGTCACCAACTCAACGTGGAGGAAATTGGTCTCATGGAATATTCCTGACGCACGCATTCTTCCTCCCAAGCATCTTCCATTCCGGTCCTCTGTCCCAGCCGGAAACGGGCACACCTCTCATGCTCTCCTTGCTCTTCCTCTCCACAGAGACTATCTCCTTAACCTCCCTCTAGGGTCTCTCCTCCTCCTCCCCTTCACTGATAGGGACAGGCAACACTCCACTGTCTCTCTCCTAAACTGCTGGAATGGCCATGTGATAGCTGTGGAGTCCGGAGCTGGGCTGTCTGAGTTAGGATCCCAGCAATGTCACTTACTGGTTGTAGACTTTTGGGCAAGTTTAGTCACACTGGGTCTCAGTTTCAGCATCTGTAAACGTCTGTATTATAAGCACTAAGAATGGAGCTCGGCCCTGTCGACAGCTACTGCCGCTGCTCGACTCCTATTCTCGGTGCTCTCTGCCTCACGCCTTGCCCTCCTCAATCCACCCTCTATTCTGCTCCCACACCCATCTTCCTACAGGGTGAACCGGGTCATGCCCTTTTCCTCTTACAACCCTTCAAGGACCCCCGTCGCCCTCAGACAGAATCAAACTCCTGACCGGGGCTCCTGGTGGCCCTGTGTACTTCTCCAGCCTCATTTCAGGCTGTGTGGAGAGGCCGGAGCTGGTACTGAATTAACAGTATGCAGATTATGATCTGCTGAATGAGGGCACACAAGCCACGAACTCGGGGTCAGCCAGCAGCTCCCTCGTCATCTGAGCTCCCACTTTGGGGAACTGAAACCCATGGGGTCATTTTGATCGATTAAATACACCCACCCAAAGGAAGCAGAGTCACAAGATTTATTATTTTCAGATCCCAGAAGAGGGTGGGGGGTGCAATGAGACAGGGGAAGGGTAGTCCTCCCTCTCAGTTCGGGCAGCAGGAGACGGAGTGAGCAGCCAGCCTCTACTACATAGAAGGTGGTTGGGACAGTCACTAATCCTTTGTGGGCTCAATTCTAAGTGGCTGTTTTTTTTTTTTAATTAAAAAAATTTTTTTTGAGGAAGATTAGCCCTGAGCTAACATCTGCTGCCAGTCCCCCTCTTTTTGCTGACGAAGACTGGCCCTCAGCTAACATCCGTGCCCATTTTCCTCCACCTTATATGTGGGACGCCTACCACAGCATTGCTTGCCAAGCAGTGCCATGTCCACACCCAGGATCCAAACCGACGAACCCCAGGCTGCCAAAGCGGAACATACAAACTTAACTGCTGTGCCAGCAGGCCCGTAAGTGGCTATTTTTTTTTTTTTTTGAGGAAGATTAGCCCTGAGCTAACATTGGCCACCAATCCTCCTCTTTTTGCTGAGGAAGACTGGCCTTGAGCTGACATCCATGCCCATCTTCCTCTACTTTATACGTGGGACGCCTGCTACAACATGGCTTGCCAAGCGGTGCCATGTCCACCCCGGTATCCGAACTGGCTTACCCTGGGCCTCCGAAGGGGAATGTGCAAACTTAACCGCTGCACCACCAGCCGGCCCCCCTAAGTGGCTATTTTAAAAGGTGCCCTGGGAGAAGCAAAGTGGGAATTCATGGCAAAAATCCTAAGCTCAGGTCCTTATGGAAACATCCAGGCTCTGGATGTGAGCAGGGTTGTCATACTGTGAAATGCCTTGGCAGCAACTTGGAAAAACAAAAGTTGTTCCTTAAAAGTCTCAAAAACTCAGAAAAACAAAACTGGTTCCTCTCATCACGCAGGCCACACCCCCTTGGGCCCTTAACTCCAGTCCCAGGGAACCTCTCGCACTTCCCCCAAGAGCTGTTCTGGTTTCCCTTGGGGCCTGGCGGGCATTTTTCTTTTCCTTGGAATGTTCTTCCCCACCCTCTCGGTCTGGCCCCCTCTCCCTTTTCCTTCCAGTTCAGCCCAGTTGTCCCCTCTGAGGACTGCGGCCCCATCTCCGTGCTCTCTGCATTCCCAGGGCTCACCTCTATCCGGGCTTTAAGAACGGGTTTCGCAATCATCCGCTTGCTTGGCTGCTTCCTCCCTCCCATTGTGAGGTTCTTAAAAGCAGGGACTATACCTATGTATAATCTCTTTTTCCCCAAACCAACTGCAGTGTCTGGCATATCCTAGGTGTTTAATACCATTTTGTTGAGCACAGTGAGTCGACAAGGTGGGGAAACTGAGGTACGTTGGAGCATCCGAGTGACATCTAACTTAAAGAAATAATTATGTCGCGCAAATTTCCCAGGGCATCCCCAGTCCATGAGCACAGACAAAATCCATCAAACACAATAAACCAGACTGAACTGCCTCAGACCCTGTGTGCCCACGCGGGGCTTCAACCCCCTGCAAAGTGCTCCTCAGGAATTTGGGGGAGTCTATTGGGGGTGTCTCCCACGTGCTCCTCTGGGTGCTGCTGTGCTAGACATGTGCCCTGGCGTCACTGTTGAAGCACTGGCCCCCCTGCAGAACCATGCTCTGTGTGGGGGGGTGGTCTCTGGGGACCCTGTGGAACCTTCTGCTGGAGGGTCGCTGGGGTCTGACGAACTCTTCCAATGTCTTTGTGGGGATTCTGTGCTCTCCATGGGACTTGGTGGGGACTCTTCAGGGGGCAGAGCTAGAGGCTGGTCCTCAGCATTGCCCTTCCATCCCTTCCAACAGGGGAGAAGGTCAAGCTCCCTCTTTCCAGGCCCCTGGTTTCCTTCCGATGAGTTCTCGTCCAGGAGCATCCTGCTTCCTCTCTGAACATAGGCTTCTGCTAGGTCCCCTCTCCCCTGTCAGTTCACCAGGCAGTTCTGAACTGCATGCTGGAGTGCCTGCTAGAATATGACGTCTTCTGCCATAGCAGGAACCCTGCCCTAATGAAAGTATATGAGCAACTCTGACCTTCGGGAAGGGACCGCTGCCCTTTAGGGTAGGGGGATGCTACTGCCCTGGTTGCTCCGGGAGCCCCAGCTCTGCCCCAACCCCCTCCCTCCCCCGCCCCCCACCTTGTTGCTGCCTTTGCTAAGGAGAAGTTCTCACCCGTTCTCCAGAGCAGGAACTATTGTTGCAAAACTCTTGCTCCATGCGATGGTAATGGGATGCAACTCTGGGCGGTCCTGACCCCAAGCAGCAGTCCACAGGCTCTGGTCAGAGCCGCAGGGTTGCCCAACCTCTGCAGAGGCTCTGGCAGTCTGTGTGAGGCACAGGGGATGGGACAGCATGCGTGCGTGTTTGGGACCACAAAGTCCGCCCTGGAGCCCAGGTAGGGCAGCCAATGGCCTTGTCGGAGAGTGGGGCCCAGGCTTCTTCTGAAACAGTATTCTCAGAAGCACCACAACTGAGTGCCTGGTGATTGACACCCAACTTGCATAAGACTCCTTGGGCAGTCAGGAGATACGATTTTGTCCGATGGAGCTACACGGGTCCTCTCCCACTATCTTTACTCAAGTCTCGCTGAGGGAGCACTGCACAGAGAATCCTAGGGTCTCAGGCCCTCCCTCCAGGCGCTCAGGATTGGGGATCGCCATGGTGGTCGGAAGGGAAGGAGAGAGGGCCAAGCCCCACGTCTGTGCCTTCTCCCCTGCCCACCAAAGAGCCGCCCTGGGGAGCAGCTGGGACTCCCACACACTGCGGGCCATTTCGTTCCCAGGTGTTCACCTTGGAGAAGTAAAGGCACATGTCTACACAAAGGACTGTACCCAGATGATTGTAGGAAACTTATTCGTGAGAGCCTCCAATTGGAAACACCCCACAAACGTCCAACAACGGTGAGTGTGTAAGCCACTTGTGGTTTATCCATGCAGAGGAACAGTACCCAACAGTAAAAAGCAACTTGACATACACAACGACATGGCCGAATCTCAGAATGATTATGCTGCAATGAAAGCAGGCAGACAATGGCCAGTGCAGACTGTATGGACCCACTTACATAAAGTTCTAGAAAATGCCAGCTAGTCTCTAGCGACGGCAAGCAGAGAGGTGGTTGCCTGGGGATGGGGACGGGGAGGGGAGGGGGAGACTACAAAAGGCAGAGGAGAGGTCGGGGGGTGCCGGATGTGTTCATTATTTTGAACATGGTGATGGTTTCATGCGTGTATGTTAAAGTCAAAACTCATCAAATTGGACAATTTCTGTGAAGTGTACTGTATGGCGACAGTCCCTCGAGAAAGCTGTTAAAAATGGAACACAACAAAAGCAGACCCCGCCCCGCCCCCCCCCCCCCCAGCCGACTCCCGGCAGGAGGCCCCTGAGGGTCGTGAGGGCCGGGCTGGGTGAGGAGGGAACATGGAGGAGAAACATCGGGACCCCTGGGTCTTATTCTTGGTTCAGGACTCAGCCTGAAGGGACTTTAGAGAGGATGGCGCCCAACTCCCTCGCCTTACAGGAAAAGCCAGGGCAGCCGAGGGCTTTGCCGGAGTCGCTCCGTTCTTTGGAGGTAGATGCAGGGCTTGGACCCCCAGCCTGCACCTTCCATCTCCACGCCACGGTCCATCCACACACGTGCCTTACATCATCAGCTTCCAGAAGGTAGGACTGCTCAGATCAGAGGGCAGAGAGGGCCGAGTGGAGGGAGCAGAGTGGGCGGTGTGGGGTGGTGGGTCCTGGTCAGACAGCCTGGGCTTCCCCTTTCTGGAAGCACGGTGGGCAGCGGTGCCCCCTCTTCCTGTAGTCCACAGAGCAGGCATGGCAGATGCGGCCTCCGCAGAGCCTGGGGAGCAGAGGAGGGCGGAGTGGGGCACGCGTGTGCACGTCAGGGGGGCCTGGGGAGCAGAGGCTGGCGGAGCGGGGCATGCGTGTGCACGTCACGGGGGCCTAGGGGGCAGAGGTGAGTAGAGTGGGGAACGTGTGTGTTCGTCATGGGGTTCGAGCATCTTCCCATCTGCCTGTCTGTTTCTCTTTTCCCAGCAGAACAGCCCTGGGTCGTTCAGGAAGGTACCCCTTTCCTAAACAGGGGTCCTGAGGCCCCATCCCTCCAGATGCCTCTTACTCCATGGCAGGTCCTCCCCATGGCCCACTTGCCTCTCCCCTGCTGCCCATCCTCCACCTACTCCCAGAGGAAGCTGAGGGAAGCAGCTTCCTCTGTGCAGAAAATCTCTTCCCAGATGAGAAGCCCATTTACAAGTCTATTCTCGGAAGGGTTACCCAGTCCCATCTTCCAGGAGTCATTCCTCGTTCGACCCCTTCCCCTGTTCTTGTTCATGTCTCTACTAAGTGTTGGGGAGGATGAGTGGCCAGCTTTAGGTGGCCTTTCATAAACCCAGTTCCTGTGTCCCTCTCTTCCCTGGAGTGGGCATGGGGCTGTGGATTGGTGGAAACTGGGCTGTCCCAGAGGAAGGATTCTGTGCCCTACCCCTTACCTGCAGGGGTACCGCCGAGACAGCCGGCCAAAGATCTTGCTACAGCTGACACAGCATCCAGGGGCCAGGGAAGAGAGATGCTGGACCTTCTGCCAAAGGTTGTCTTTCTCTCTGATGGGCAGATGGAGGTGGAGCGAGATGTACCCCCCCACACACAGACAGGAAGACAGAGAGATGGAAATGGCACAGATGGAGAGACAGAGAGAGTGACAGAGGGCGTCACGCAGAGATAAAAAGAGACAGACAGCAGGGCAGAAAGACAGAGACACAGAAATGGAGAGGGAGACAAAGAGGAACAGAGAGAGATGGCACTCAGAGAGCAAGGAAGTTAGGAAGTTGGAGAGGGAGATAGAGACACACAGAGATGTAGAGAGATAAATGGAGAGGGAGAGAGAAAGACACAGGGAAGAAGATTCAGAGACAGACAAGGACAGAGACACAGACAGAGGGAGAGACAAATACAGAGAAAGATGGAGAGACGGAGAAAGGGACATAGCGATGGAGAATAACAGAGAAATGAAGAGACAGTGAGAGACACACAGACGTAAGACATCGGTGAGTCTGCAGTCTCTCTAGGAAGATGGATGGTGACACTGAGGTCCCCTTTGACCAACATAACCTTGACCAGTGATCTAAGAATCTGTTCCTATCCCACCTCCTCCAAGGAGCGCTCCCCGATTGTGGAAGCCCCCAGGGGTTCCTTGCTCCAGACTCCTATAGCATATAATGCCTGTTATCTTTTACTTGGCACTTCGTACAAACTGCTTTGCAGTTACATGTGTGGATGCTCCTGCAAAACCATCTTCACTGTTTTTTTAAGGATGTTTAGGGATGTGAGTTGTTTCGCATTTTAATCAAAATGATGCCTGCACGTGATTTAAAAATCAGCACGGAAGGACTCAGATCAAAAGGCAGGAGACCTTCCCGCTCCTGCCGTTCTCAGCGGCAAACGACTTACATCTTTCAGCTTTTCCTCCTTGATGTTGGCTCCATATTTAAGCAGTATGCTCATGTCCCTCCTTCTTGATTTGTCCAGAGAGCACATCTGCAGAGCTCCTCACGCTGACGTCACAGGACTTAGCTTGTTTATTACCATCCTCCCCCAGTCCTCCCCCTCCCTCCCTGTGGTTATTGCCCTAATTTTGCTTCCTCTCTTGGTTACTCCTGTAGCTTTACAGAATTGACTCACACATTTCTTTCTCAATCCTTCTATCACTATAGATCGTGCCTGATGATGCCATTCTGTAATACAATGCCATATAATCCCTTCTCCCCAGCCCTCCTCCCTCTCCCACCTCCTAACTTGTCATCTATTCCTGCAACATCCAATATGGCAGCCACCAGCCACAGGTGGCTCTTTAAATTGATAGTTAACTTAAAGTTAAAAAAAAAGCTTCAATTCCTCAGTTGCGCCAGCTGCATTTGAAGCAGTCAGTCGCTGCATGTGGCTAGTGGCTACCATATTGGACAGGGCACATATATAGCATCTCCAACTTCACAGAAAGTTCTATCGGGTTCTTTTCTAAACTCAATATTGTTTAGTTGGTAACATTTACTTTTGTTCTATAACATTAACTGTTTTCTGTGCTTTGCCTTTGGGTTGATTCTAACCCTGAAAAAAAAAAACCAATGAATAATACTTACATTTTTAGACAATCTATAAGTATATTGCTTCAAGCAGAACCAAGACGTATTCCGTAAGATTACCTTTCTTGGAAATTTTTTATTTTTCTAGGACTTTGTAGTTGCCTTTCTTTGCTCCTTGCATGACTTGCCTTAACATAGCCTAATTGTTCTGCCTCCCACCCTCCCCACCCCAATTCTTCGTCATATCAAGTATCCTGCTGATTCTGTTTCTCCCCAGAGACCTTCTTCCTGGGCCCTCAATGCTCCTGCTACAGCCTGGATGACTGCTTCCTGGGCTTGCTGCCCACTGGGCATCTTAGAAATTCCCTTTTCTTCTCTCCTGGGCTAGACCTACTGTTTCCTGAATTTCACATCTTCTCCTTTTTTGGCTTACTTCCTTGTTTTTCTTAAGCACATCCTTAATTAACTTCCTAAGAAAAGCTATGTGGGAGGTTAGTTTTCTGTACCCTACCAGTCTGAAGTACGTCCTTCCTCCATCACTTTCCCCACTTGCTTCATCACTTGGCTGGATATAGAATTCTAGGGCAAAGGCAACTTTTCTCAGAACTTGAAAGTATTACACCATTGATTCATAAAATTTGTTGGGTTCTACTTCTTCTGTAAGCGACCCACCTTTTAGGATATTCTCCTTGTCTTTGTTTTACTGAAATTTCACAATGATGTATCTAGATGTGAATTTTTCCTCTCTTTCACTTATTGTGCTGGTCACTCAGTGAAATCTTTAAATCTGAAGATCAGTGTCCATCAGACCATCAGAGCTGGGAAAGTTTCTCCTATTTTCATCTGACAATTTCCTCCATTTTATCGTCTCCTTTTTTGGAGTTCCTGTCAGTTGGAGAAATTATTGGGACTTCTCGATTGGTTCTTCAGGTCTCTAATTATTTCTCTCGCGTCTTCCATTTCTCTGTGATTTTTATCCTACTTTCTGAGAGGCTGCCTCATCTTTTTCTTCCAATCTTAAGTGAATTTTAAATTTTGTCAGCGATCTTTTCAATTTCCGACAACGTTTCTTGTTTTTTGACGGTCACTTTTCACAGTATCTTTTTTCATGGGAGATGGATCTTTGTTTGCTTGTTTATCTTTGTCTTTCCCCTCTATGTTCTAGATTCTTCTCAGGTGTCTGGGGATCCTTGACTGCCACATCATGTTTAGGAAAGAGGTGATACAGGCTGCTGGAGTAGTGGACGGGGCTGGTTGACTCATGGCTTCCCCTTAGTGGGGACTGGGCAGGGAGCTACCTGCCACACCAGACTCTCTGTTATTTGGGGCATCTAACTTTCTTTAGAGAAGGACCTTTCAATTATTTCCCTGAGAGGCAGGCCCCTCACTCTCAGGTGTTCTGCAGGTGGGGAGGCAGGCAGAGAGCAGGGGGTGTACATTGCTCTGTCTAGTGCCTTTATCAGAAATTGTCCTGATTTCTCCCCGTCATCTCACTTCTGCCATCTGTGTCCTGGCATCTCTGGGCCTTGAAGTTCTAATTCAGGCTAAATCTAGTATGCACTTTCCCATTCATTATCCGGCTTCTGGAAATCAGCCGAGATCTCTGATCTGGGGCTGTCTCCTCCACTTTTCCTTCTTTTAAGTTTTATTCTTTTACAGACATTTTAGTAAGCTCTCAGGGTGGAGAATAGATGTTGTGTGGTCGCTCTGCCATCTTGGTGCAGCGGTCAACTTCCATGGCTTCTGTTTTTCTCCTTTTGCTTAAGGCACTTCTGCAAGGGACGTTAGGTTTTGTAGTTTGGGATCCTGTGATGGATCTCTTCAGTGTGCTAAGAAAAACATTTGTCTCTCTTGATGAACTAGTGTACTTTCTTTGAATGGACAGTGAAATTTAGGGACCTTCTGTGTTTCTCTTTTTGATCCTGCTGCCAGGATGCTCAGAGCTAAGTTTTAATCCTAACTCTAATCCTGACATTTTAAGAGTATGTATTTTTCATCTTCCATCACATCTTCTGTTTTTCTTGTTCTTTCCAGGTTGGTCTCTCCCTTTTCTCATCCTTAATATCACCTGGGTTTTGTGCAGGAGGATTTAGGCTTAGATGATGGCCCAGCAACCTCCCAGTTCGAATGGAAGCTGGGTACCTGGTCTCCAACTTGCTAGACTGGGTGAAAGGATAACATATGTATGAACTACCTCCCCACCAGGCTGAGGGCCAGGAGCCAGGCCTTATGTGTCTCCTCCAACCCTCAGTGAGCATAGTGGTTTGGAAGGGATCCTGGAACCCAGGACCGCCGAGCCGGGCCAGCCTCCAGGCCAGTGGGCTGAGGAAGATCGCCTCCTGGTTAACCTCCCCCTTCTTCTCCCAATTCCTCCTCAACCCGCAGGCTCCTTCCCCTTCTCTTAGCCTCAGTAGGTGTGTGTGTAAGGAGGGGTTGGTTGGGGTCGGGGCATGCCTGAGTCAGAGGACTCTATGCAGTTTATATGCTGGGTGTTCTTTGCAGCCAAGTCAGCCTCTCTGACCCTCAGTTTCCTCATGTGTGAAATGGAGACAATAGCAGGGGTGGCTAAACGAAGGAGATGAATTAGAATATGTAAAAGGTCCAGACCCCTGCTTGATGGTTGTTCTCAGGGAACAACTATCACTCCTGTGTCTGCGTCCTGTCCTACCGCGTACCCTGCACTCCCGCCGTCCTTACTGAGTCAGTTCCAGCACCCTCCTCTTCAGGGCACGGACCAGGTCCCGCTGCCCACCGAGCTCCTCCTCATGCACTGCGTCCCTCCTGTCGGCCTCCTGCTGCTTCTGCTCCAGCTCGGCCCACAGCCGGGCTCTCTCCTCCTGACACCTGGGACAGGGAGACGAGGTTCTCAGCGGAACAGCTCAGCACTGTGACTGAGCCGGGCTGGGCGGCCCGACTCCGAGTCCCTGCCGGAAGCTGATGGTGCCCCCTGCAGCTGAAGACCACACACACACACACACACACCCATACACACCGTATACACCATACACACCATACAACACACCACACTCACATATACACACACACCCCACGCATACTCCACACCCCATACCACACATATCACACACCACACACAACACACACATACCATACACACCACACATACACACTCATAACACAAACCTACCATGTACCACACACACATACCACACACACCACACACACACTGTACATACCATACACCCCACACATACTGTACACCCCTACCACACACGATCACATATACACACACTCATAACACAACACGAACATACCGTGTCCCACATACACACACTACACACACACCACACTACATACACACACACCATGCACATCATACACGCTACACATACACAAACACCACAACACACACCGCATACATTTACAACACACTGCACCCACACTTTCACAACACAACACAGCACACACACACACACACACACACACACACAGACTGAGCACTGTGTGTCCCAACACCCACAGGCTGCCTTCTTACCAACTGTTCAGAGAAATGAAAGCGGGGCCTGGCCTTGCCTGTGCCCTCAGAGGGGACGAGCCAACGTCTCCCTTTCTTGTGTTGCTTTTTTTCTTTTAACATTTCCATTTTAAATGGAATTGTCCTGGAGAGCATGTTCACAGTCATGGTGGCTCCTGGGAGGCGGGGGTGCGTCTGGGAACCAGGCTGGATGGCGGTGCCCAGTTGAACGCAATTTGTTTCGACAGACAAATTGAAACGAATTTCAACAAACAAATGGAAACAAAGTGAAGCGAATGGGGAAGTGGATACCAGACTTGCCCACCGCAGAAGTTCAGGGCCCAGAGGCGCCAGGGCATAGACGGCAGAGCGAGGCCAGGGCAGACCAGGCTGCTCCCAGCAGAAAACAGTGTGGTGTGTGGGGAGACGGGTGAGTGGGGCAGGATTTGGGGGGATTTTAAGAAAGTAGTATTAACATATGGCTTTCTTTTTTTTTTCAGATTGGCACCTGAGCTAACAACTGCTGCCAGTCTTCCTTTTTTTTTTTTTCTGCTTTTTCTCCCCTAATCCTCCCAGTGCATAGTTGTATATATTAGCTGTGGCTCTTTCTCGTTGTGGCATGTGGGACGCCGCCCCAGCATGGCCTGACGAGTGGTGCCATGTCCGCACCCGGGATCCGAACCGGCGAAACCCTGGGCCGCCGAAGTGGAGATAGCGATCTTAACCACTTGGCCATGGGGCTGGCCCAAACATATGGCTTTCTTAAATTTCTGTTTGAGTTTGGGCTTGGAACCTCCTCAGTTCGATGTTTCCCTCTTTTTTTGTCTTTCGTGGCTTCCTAGAAGGTTCCAAGAAGTCCACCAGGTGGGAAACAAGAAGACCCCAGCCTCCTGTTCCATCACTCTGATGGGAGGCTGCCACCAGCGCGGGCGCGTCTCATGACGTCCAGACAGGCGTGTGGGGGTGTGTGTGTGCACTCACGTCCCTGGGCTTGAGTGTGTTTGGGGGAAGAAGAAGCTTGTGAGAGGCTTGACAATGAACTGAATTATTAGTTTTTAAAACGCTGCAGGGAAGAAAAGGAGGCGGGCCGTGGACTCAAACCGACAACAGTCAGCTGCCGTCCCCCACGGCCAGGCCCTGCAGCCTTAAGAACGAGCGCTCTCGTGCTCAGGCGTTGGCCAGGGCCGTGTTCTGACTCCGTGAACATTCTGGCCTTTGGTCTCCTCATCTCTTAGTATCAGTATCTCACTTTCCTGAGCCACTTTATCTGACCATGATCTCAGGGTCTCTGGTGTGGCCAATGCAGTTGCTAACATGACCACTGTGCTTAGTGTGTCTTTGTGATGGGAGGGAATATTTATCAAGCACCTACTGTATGCCAATGGCTGTTTAGGCACCTGTGGCTCCTGGTGGAGCTTATAGCGTGTTTGGGCTGGTGGCCAAAAGAAGCAATAGACCCACAGAATCATTAAGCTTAGCGTGAGAGAGGAAGGAGGGGCTGAGACAGATTCGAGAGGGCACTGAGGGAAGTTTTCTTAGACCAGGCGACATGGGAGCAGATCTAAACGATGAGAAGTGAGCCATGTAGAGCCAGGGAAGGGCACATGCAAAGGTCTGCAAGTTGGAAAGAACTTGGCTGCTCTGAGAAACTGAAAGAAGGCTAGTGGGGCTGGAATAGCAAGCATGGCAGGGGATGACGGGGCAGGAGGTGACATGGGAGGTGAGCAGGACCCGATCTGTCCCTCTGTGGCCCCAGGAGGACTGGATCTTTCATCTCAGTGCAATGGGAAGCCATTGCAGTGTTTTAAGCAGGGGGTGACGGACATTCCTAGTGCAGGCGGGGACATGGAAGGCTTTAAAGTCTCCTGAGAACCCACTATGTGACGGGCCCCGAGCTTAGGGCTTTATAGCTTTGTTTCACTTACTTTTTATGAATTTATGGGACAGGTAATACAATCATCATTTTACAGGAAAGAGAAGACAGCTTCAGAGAGGGAGTAACACTTGCCCAGCGTCACACAGCTTGATAAACCGGGCGGGGAGCAGAAACCTGGACGCAGGCCTGTCCAGCTCTAATCTCTTTTTTCTCCCCACACTGTGTCCACGCAGGGCCCTGGTCGCCAGTGGTTTGTGCATCAGGGCTGCGTGGGTGGCAGGTGGGAAAGAGGGATGGATCCTTCTGAGCCCCTGGCCTGCCTCAAATGAGCTCAGAGCTAGCACCCAAGGTGGCATCATTCTGTCACACACTAAGCTTATGGGTCTACTGCTTGTTTTGGCTACAGCCCCAAACACACTATAAGCTCCATCAGGAGCCATAGGCGCCTAAAACAGCCATTGGCATACAGTAGGTGCTTGATAATGTTCCCTCCCTCCACAAAGACACACTAACCACAGTGGTCATGTTAGCACGTGCACTGGCCACGCCAGAGGCCCTGAGATCATGGCAGGTACAGTGGCTCAGGAAAGTGAGATACCAATGCTAAGAGATCTGGTGATGGATGTACAACTTTGTGACCGTGCTAAAACCCACTGAATCGCTATAAAAAAAAATACCAAATAAACATAGATATTTACATTAATTTTTGCTGAGGAAGATTCACCCTGAGCTAACGTCTATGCCAATCTTCCTCCATTTTTTAGTATGTGGGCTGCCAGCACAGCACGGCTGCTAACAGAGCAAGGTAGGTCTGCGCCCGGGAACTGAACCTGGGCCACTGAAGCGAAATACACTGAACTGAACCACTAGGCCACGGGCCGGCCCTAAACATATTTTAAAGTTAAAACAAACAGTCTCGTCCTCTCCCTCCTCTGCTCAGAACTCTCAGTGGTTCCCATCTTCCAGTCAAAGCCAAGGTCCTTCTGACGTGATGACCTACTAGGGTCTCCCCTTACCCAGCCGACCTTTTCCTCCTTCATGCCCCAGGGCCATAACAGCCTCTCTGATGTTCCCAGAATCTGCCACGCCCATTCCCACCTCAGGGCCTTTGCTCCCGCTGTTCCCTCTACCTAGAACATTCTTCTACCGCATATCCAAACAGCTTTTACTCAAACATCATCTTTTCAGGGAGCCTTCCCTGGCTGGGCCAGCTTATTGAATTCACTCCCTGACACTTTCCTGCTTTATTTTCCCTCCTTAGAACTTCTCACAATCTGACACTCTGTGTATTTTACTTGTTTATCATATTTATCGACTGCTCCCCCCACTAAGCTCCACGAGGGCAGGAGTTTGGTCTGTCGTCCATGAGAGTGTTTTCAGTACATAGAACAGGCCTGGCCCAGAGTGGGCCCACCGAGCGCTGGTGGAATGACTGAAGGATGGACAGGACAACAGGTGGCAGGACAGAGGTCCAGGAAACAGGAGCTCCCTGAGGTGCAGGGAGCGTCCTGGGGCCGGCGGTCTCCCAGGAGCCTCCAGTGCTCCCTCCAGCCTGCCTTGCTCCCCAGGGAAGGCCCCTGCTCACTTAGGGCCTGAATCATGGGAGTCTTTGCCGACCAAACCGTGGGCTGAGCTGAGGGTCTTGTGGGAGGGGTCCCTGAGGGCCTTGGGCCCTGGGCCTCTCTCTGCCTGTAGAGCAGTCAGGAGACGGCCTGGCCCGTGATTCGGTCTGAATCACAGCCACTCAGGCTCTGCTGGGGTCGAGCTAGCACCTCCGGCCCTGGGGCAGGGGTCAGCCATGTGGGAGAGGAAGAGGCAGGCGGAAGACCGACACACGCAGAGAGCCAGGCAGAGAGGCACAGAGAAACTCAGTCAGGCCAAGGAAGACCTTTGCACGGCAGAGATATTTAAAAAAATAAACTATGAAAGAGAAACCTGGACACAGGAGACTGAAGGAGAAAGGTAGAGACGAGGACAGCGTGCTCCGGACCCTAGAGGTGAGTGTGACGAGGGGAAGACGAAGAGGCTGGCGGTGAGAGATGCTGGGAGGAGAGACAGAGACCCAAATGTAGGCACTCGGGGTGTTGGCGGAGGGTGGCGTTTAAGCCCCCCGGTTCCAGGTCAGCGGCTGGGGTCGGGCCTCAGCTCCCTGCTACCTGGCTGATGTCAGTGAGTTGTGTAGTGTCTTTGAGACTTAGACCCCTCATCTGTGAAGTGGGGGTCCTCACAGAGCCTATCTTAGGCGGCTGTTATGAGGAAGTCCCAGAACAGTGCCAGGGATGGGGTGGACGCTCAGTGATGACAGTTATTGTGATTATCAAGAGGGTGAAAGACAGACTATGCAACCGGAACAGGAGAACCAGAGACAGACATTAGAAGAGGGAGCCTGAGAGGGAGGGCGGGGCGAGGGTGCCATGGGCAGGGAGGTGGAGCAGATTGACAGGGAGAGGAGATCCCAGAGGAGGCAGCAGAAAGGGGCAAGAATGAGTGTGGAGGGAAGGGAGGGACTGGAGGCGTAGATCTCTCCTGGGGCTACTCAGGGGGCCAGTGAGGGAGGGGGCTGGCAAGGGTGAGGAGGGGAGGGGAGGGTGGCAGTCCCTGGAAAACAGGAACAATGCCCCGCATGCCTCGGCATCCCAAAGCTGTGCCCGCCTGGCCCAGGGCCTGTGCGCGGGGGGTGCTCAGAAGATGCTGGCTGGCGCTGTGCACGTGAGCAGGAGCCAGGGAGCTCTTCCTGTCCCTCAGGCCTCCTGGCTCTCACGCTCGGTTGTGCTGGTGGTTGCCAAGGTTACCTGCCGAGCTGCTCCCGCAGTGCCTCCAGCTCGCCCTCCAGCTCCTTCAGCAGCTGCTCCTGGTGCCGGGCCTCCTCTTTGGTCTTCTGGAGCCCACGTCTGAGGCTCTGGGGGAGGGAGAGGGGAAAGGAAGCTGAAGGAGGAGGGCAGAGACCCCAGCCTGGGGAGTGACCTGGCAAACATCCCCACGAGACCCCAGGCCATGCCAGACAGCCCTTGGCGGAGGGCAAGATGGGGACAGTGCTGGGAGCTGTGATGCTTGGCTCTGCCCCAGGTGAGCCTGGAGCCACCATTTCCTCCTGCAGTGAAAAATCTCAAGGACCTGGAAGCCTCTGGCTAAGGAGGGGGCTGGAGGAAGGCTTGCAAACACTCTCAGGCGACCTCCAGGAGAAGCGTCTGCACCAACAGCAACTGGGTGAGATCTGCCTGCAACACCGGAACTTAGATATTGGGCAGAGACCTGCCAATATCGAGGGCTATGGAACTTGAGAACCAGCAACTGCCCCAAAGAACTGTCGGGAAGGGATCTCAAACTCAAATGCCTGCAGGGGCCAGGCAGGTAGAAATGATGAATAAAGTGGGCCTGCTGTGAAGCAATAGGGAGAGGTGGGGACCGTGGGAACTGAAGAACGCATGACTTTCAAAAGGCATCCTCAAATAATAATAGTCTTGTGTGGACCAGTAAAGGTTGATCTCTGGCCGGAATGGCCTCATCTGTGGTCCAGGCTAGAGAGGGGAGAACAGGCAGGCCCAGAACTCAGCTGCTCTCACCTCGACCACGTCCTGCAAGGCTGCCTCTGCTTGTTCCTCCCTCCTGGTCACACTGGTCACGCCTATTTGCTCTTGTGGCTTCTCTGTGGTGGAGCCTTCCTTTGCTTCCAGGCTCTGAAAGACCTGGGGCTTCCCCCAAATGCTAGCCACTTCCCCCTCCTGCCCGCTCGCAGACATTGCGTCCTCTATCGTCCCTCTGGGGCTGGAGCCCAGCAGCCTCTGGACATGACCCCACGCTGCTCCCCCTTCAGGAGTCCCCTCTATTGTTCTCTGACCCTCTGCACCCAGCAGAACCCCTCTGCCCTCATTCTCTGCCCCGATCACTTCCTTCAGAGCCCCCTGGACCCCCTCCCCCTGTCCCCGGATGCTGGGGGTTGAGTTCTCCAGACAGATCCTCATCCTTGGGGCTCTCTTGTCCTGGTCTTGCGGAAGCTCCTCCACCTCTGGTTCCCGTATGCTTTGGGGGGGCCCAAGGCTCCCGGGTTCTCCTCTCTTCTTTTCCAAAAAGGGGGTACAATGTTTGTGTTGCTGTGACCTGGAGAGTCTAGCCAACGGGTCTCCCCTGGGTGCATCTCGCACACAGCTGGCTTGGCTGGCGTGTGGCTCCTCTGGCTGAACTCCTGTGGGGCCTTCACATGTGGCTATCTGCAAAGAAGCCCCAAACCCATTTTCCTCTCAGCACTGCTTCACCGACCTGGTGCAGGGGAGAGGCCACAGCCCAAATCCAATGGGCTTGATCAGTATGTGGATTCCCGGGCCCTCCCACTGGAAATGTTGATTCAGCAGATCTGGGGTGGGGCCCAGGAATCTGAATGCTAGCCACCCCCCAGGGGACCTGATGCCCCAGCTTTGATCTGGTCAGGGAGCAGCAGAGTCTCTCGATGCCCTTTCCTCCCTCCTTCTCTGCCTTCTCCATCAACCTGGCTTCCCCTAAGTTCCTCCCACGCCTCTCCTCTGATCCTTCCCTCTGAACTTGACTACACCGCATTTCAGTTTTCTCGTCTGCAAAATGGGAATAATAATAGCTGCCTCGTAGGATTGGGTTGAAAGCTTAAACGGACCGACAGCCAGCTAAGAGTCCCCTCTCTCGAGCAACCTTCTCTGGGCTCCCACGTCCCTCTGTCCATGTCTGCATCACTATACTTAACACACTGCCTTGCAATGTCTTCCTTTAGGGTCTGTCTGCCCGAACAGACCTGGCACTCCTTCAGCTCAGAGACTGAGTCCTCATAGTTTCTGTACGTGGTGCCTGGGAGCTGGCAGTGTGGAGCGGGCTTGTGGCCTGCTGACCGCCACAAGCTCCCACTTTCTGAGCATGTAGCCGGGAGCTCTGTGTACATGTAGCTCTGTGCTACCTGTGGGCAGTCTCACACGTCCTCACAACTACCTTGCCAGGCAGGACGAGTAACTTGACCAAGGACACTGGTCAGTAAGGGGTGGAGCTGGGACTTGAACCAGGTGATCCGGGTCTGCAGTCGCTCCGTGAACTGGACTGAGATGCTTGCAAACTGTCCAGCAGAGCTTGTTTCTCCGGTCTATTTCCTACAAGCTTCTGGTCACCCTCCCCAGCACGTCCTCCTCCCCCGGGCCCCAGTGGCTCCTGCAGATGGCACCTGTGGTCCTTCCTCCCCCCAGTATCCCCACCACCTGAGGAATATGAGCCTTCACTTCTGTGGCTCCCCGGTCCCCAGGTCCACACGTTGGGTCAGGGCTCAGTTCCTGCTCAACCTGGGGTCCCAACAGAGATGGAGAAGAGGCAACTCAGAGTGCAGGTCAGGAAGAGGCACCTCCTTGGGGGAATCTCTGGTCTTTCTGGGTCTTCGTCCCTGGGCCCGGCTGGAATTGGAGCAGCAGGACCTGAAGGTGAAAGGGGCAGGGGGACCCTGGGCCTCTCTCCAGTGGTGGTCTTGGTCCTCAGGGGCAGGATATCCTGTTTTTCCAACCATCCATTCATCCCACCATCCTTCCCACCTTCTCCCTCTGCCACCTTCATGCATGCATTCCCTTCTTCATCCATCCATCCATCCCACCCTTCATCCCTCCATGCCTCCATCCCTGCATCCATCCATCCCTCCATTCATCCTTCCATCCCTACATCCCAGCCTCCATCCATCCTTCTAATCCTCCACTCCAACCATCCAACAACTCTCTAGTGAGTGTGTATTCTACGCAGCATCATGGGACATCACGAGATGATTCTGGGAAAAGAGAAGGCTAGGGAGGTGGAGAATCAGCCATTCAGGGAGCAAGAAGGGAGGGAGAAATGGATGAGGCTGGAGGCTGAGAGTTTGGGTGGTAATGGCAGCAGGCATTGAAAAGAGGCTGCAGCCACTCACTCTGAGAACATGGGCCAGGCCCCATCCAGGTCTGGCCGCTGCAGGTCCAAGTCAAAGGCTACCCCATTGAGAGCGTAGAGAGAGTCCAGAATGTCCTCCCGCAGTTCAGGGCACACCAGAGGGCTCCGGGGGCCATACCACTCCCTGTGTTAACAGGGACCAGCACCCTCAGCCTTGGGTGCTGGTGCTATTGCCACCCCCGACCTCCGAGAACCCACCAGCAATGCACACTGTGACGGACGGGTCCCTGGCAGGCTGTGGCCTTAGGGGAGCAGAGGCCGAGCACCATGATGCTGCCAGGACTCCAGGGTTCTAATGTCCCTTCTGCCCTTTCTTCCAGGACTTCCCCTTCAGGACTCTCACTGTGGTCGTCTTTGATATTAACCATCTTTCGGGGGTGTTCACAGGATGAGCAGGAACGCGGCCCCGCAACCCCACCTGGTGAGCTCCGGGTTCAGGAGGCACAGCTGCAGGGTCTCGGCCAGCTGTCCGTGGGCCAGGCAGAAGCGGATGAAGGCCCGGCCTTTTCCCAGGGGGGTCTTCAACTGCAGAGTGCAGGGGGGCGTGATGGGGGTGGCGTCAGGACAGAGGGGGCTCGGCCAGCACAGAGAGAGAGAGAAGATAGGAACGAGTGGTTGATGAGGAAGGTGTCATGGGACTTGAGGCAGGGGGAGGCAGGGGGTGGCTGGAGGGGTGCTGAGGGTGGGGGCTAATGAGCGACAAGACCAGGTGAGGGGGTCCATGTCAGTGGAGCCAGGATAGGGGAGAAGAGGCCTCAGGCAGGCCTGTGTCCTGGCCCCAGAGACAGCTCGTCAAAGCCTGGGGTCAAGGCCCCAACACACAGGCCAGCCTCCCTGCCACCTGGCCCTGGGTACCTTGTCCTGGGAGTGGACAAAGCTGGCTGGCTCCGTGTCCCCACGCTGTTGCGACAGGGACGTGCAGAGAAAGTCCCAGTAGCCCTTCCGAGGCCTCAGGAAGCTCCTCTGCTCTTTCTGGTCAAACTAGCAGCAAGACGAGGGAAAGGAAAGGGTAGAAACACTTCCTGCCAGAACCACCCTTGCATTCCAGCACGCTGATCGGGGACACGGTCCAGGGGAAAGGGCTCGCGCAGACAGACTCAGCTCCAGGTCCCGGCTCTGCTCTTACTGGCTGTGTGGCCAGGAGAAAGCTGCTTGACCTCTCTGAGCCTTCGGTGTTCTCATTCATTCATTCATGCATTCCAGATATACTTATGTGCCAGGCCCTGTTCTAAGCCCTGGAGATACGGCCATGAGCAAACTGACCTCATGGGCTTCCATCTTGGTGGGGGAGACAGACAACCACGAAACTGAATAAGTAAAACATATAGTAGGTTAGGTGGGGCTGACTGCTAAGGAGAAAATAAATCAGGGAAAGGGGAAAAAAAGTGGGTGGTGTGTGCACACATGTGTGTATGTGGGTGTGTGTGAGGTGTGTATTTTTATGTGTTAAAATTTTAGTTTAGGGTGGTTGGAGAAAGCCTCACTGAGGAGGTACTTTTCCAGTCCAGATGTGAAGGAAATGAGAAAGTGTGCCATCTGAATTCCTAGAGGAAGAGCATTCCAGGCAGAGGGAAGAGCACATGCAAAGGCCCTGAGGCAGGCACATTCCTGATGTGCTTTAGGAGGATCCAGGAGGCCAGTGTGACCGGAGTGCAGCAGATGAGGGGCAGACTGGCTGGAGACTCCCACCTGCACACCTCACACACACAAAACTCATGCACACATGCACACTCACACTACACACACAGAGAAGTAGGAAGGGTGTGTGTGTGTCCCTGGGGTTGGGCAGGTCATCAAACACCGCAGGGGTCTGAATGAGGATTACGTAAGGGCGGTGTGGTCAGCGATCAGTAAAAGCTGGTGAGAGTGACAACTGGGGCTCTAGCCAGCAGCAAGGAGGGCCAGCCCCAGGACAGCCGCACCTCTGAACTTCAGTCTTTAGAGCAGGGGGGCCGCCCCAGCCCCACCTCTTATTCCAGGCTACAGGGACAGCCTCCCAGAGTGAGGTTAGCTGTCAGAAGGACTTGACACTGAGGGAGCCGAGGGAGCGTGTGGGGACAATGGGGAGCAGTGGCTCTTCCCTCAGGATCTGGGAGTGCCCTCTTGGTTGGGGTGGAGACGGGGAGAGTAGGAAGGAGAGGGGAGATGGAGGGGAGGGGAGGGGCGGGGCGGGCCCCACCTGCAGCAGGTGCTCCAGGCAGCCACAGAGTCTGTGCAGCTCAGCGCTGGCATCTGTGACCGGCTGCTGCCCAGCCCCGTGGCAATGGAGGATGGCAGAAACGGCGGCTGTGGGGAGGATGGTGGACATCAGACATCAGGTGGCAAGGGCTGAGGGAGACGCCCCAGGACCCCTTGCTGCTCCCCCAGTTCAGTCCCAGCAAATCTGTCAGCACACACTCACCTTTCAGGTCCCTGGTGACCTTGAGGACAGCCCCTTCTTCTGCCATGAGCATTCGAAAAGGATGGGATTCCTTGTGGCTCTGGGAGGTCGGCCAAGGCAGGAGCCTCCACGTTCAGCCTCGATTCTCTCCTTATGCAAAGGAAGGAGCAGAGCTTAGAGAAGGAACGTGGCATCTCCAGGGTCACACAGCGAGTCCACTGGTAGCATGGGACCCCCAGCTCTTTCTGGTAGGCCAGTGTGGGAAGATGAGGGTGTGGCCCCCGCTTAGGGAGCAGCTCCTGAGTGCCAGGCACTGTGCCATGTGCCTGACATCCTTGTCCCATTCAGTCTCCACAATAACCCTAGGAGGCTGTCAACTCCATTTTATACGAGTCAGAGAGGGTAAGACTTTTATCCAATGTCACAAAGCTGTAAGTGGTGAAACTAGAATTTGAATTCAGGTCTGGGTGCCCACAGGGCTCATGTTCTTGGCCCTGACTTGATGGGCGCAGCTCGGTTGGTGCACCTGCCACGTGGACGCTGGGCTGACGGAACGTCATCCCTCTGTCCCGCGGGGAGTCTTGTCAGAGCAGTCACCCGCCTTGAGACACACAGTCATCCTCTCCTGGGCCCCGCCGAGTGGAAAATGTGTGTTCTTTGAGGACAGGGAGGCAGAAGGAAGGCGAGGCCCAGAGCTGGGACAGGGCCAGAAGGCTGGGTGTGTGGGGAGCAGGACGCCCGTTGTAATTCTGCTGTCTTCTCCCAGGGGAGTCAGTCTCTTCTCCCACAATGGGTCCTGGGGCTTGCAGAGGAAGAGAGTGGCTCCTGAGGGCTGGTGGGCTTAAAGCCTGGAGTAAAGGCTGGGTGTGGGGTGGGGAACCCAGGCGTCCTCCCTCCCAGGCTGTGAATTTGGGAGCGGTGAGAGTGAAGAAGCAGTGGGACAAGTGGAGGAAAGGTAAATGGGGGGTGGGGGGGTGGGGATGGTGCTCAGGGAGCACTGAGCTGGGAGTCAAGGGACCGGGGTCTCCATCCCGGACCTGCTACCAACTCACTGTGTGCTCTTGGGCACATCATTTGCCTTTCTTCGGCCTCAGTTTCCCCATCTGTAGACCAAGGAGTTGGAGTGAGGGTCTCTCTAGCCCCTTCCAGCCTAGATCGTCTATGAAACCCAGGGACACCTAGATGAACCTCCTCCTCTCCCTCATCTCTATCCGGGGTTCCCGTGCCCAGCATCCTGGCATCACTCCCTTCTCCAGCCAGCCCCAGCCCCAGGAACCTCCGTGCCACTCACCTGGGAAGGCCTGGATGGTGGGGCATGGAGCGCGGGGCCTGCAGCCTGAGCCCGGGACAGTCCTTCCCAGAGTCTGCAGGCCGGGAAGTGAGTCAGGCCCAGCCCATCACCCTGGAAGGGAAATCCTGCCCACAGGGGGAGGAGTAGAAGGCTGCAGAAGGAAGTGGCAGAGCAGGGCAAGGGCACTGGGGCAGGATGGGGGAGATAGGGGTGGCCCCTCAGGCAGAGCTGGGTACAGACTCACCCAGCGGGGCAGCGGCAAAGGCTGCTCTGCGAATTTCCTTCCCCTTCTCCATACTGTCGCTTGCTCTTGTCTTTCTCCTTTATTGCCACCAGGTGGCACACAGAAACTGTGATGCTGTCTGGCAGATACTTGGCCAGTCGTTACTGTCACTTGGTTGGACTGTGGTGCAGGCCAGGAGGGGAGGACAAGGGTCCCACCTTGTGTCTCTCTCCTCCTCCCCACCGTGGGCTCATGAGGGGTCCTCGTGAGTGCCGGTCAGCCTTGCCATCCTCCAAGGCCTGGTACTCACCCCTAAAAGGAAGACAGTGAAACCACTGGTGATGCTGTATCCAGGGATGGGCCAGGTGGGTTGCCCAGGTGGGCTGCCAGGTAGGCTGTGGCTTTGCTCTGCTGGGGTCTTTCCACCGCCCGGTCCTGTTCGCCTGGGCTGGGACCCCCCAGGGCTAGTACTGGGGGCAGGGAGCAGAGGAGCAGGCAGCTGGGAGTTCTAGTGTTTCACAAACCTCAGGAGCCGCGTGTAAACACTGGAACACGCGGTCCCCAAGCCTGGCTCTGCCCTCCTGCGCAACTCTCCGCCTCCAGGACTTGGTCCCCTCATCAGTCCCTGGTGTCCCCGTCTCCCCGTCCTTCCCTCATTCTCTCTCCTTATCGGCTTCCTGCCTCTCCCACGCGCTGTCGGCCTTCTCGCCCTCGCAGACTAGGCTGATCGCCGCCCCTCCGCGCGCCCCCGCGCCCTCGGGTCTCCCTCCATCGCTGGCTGCGTCCGGGCGCCCGTGTCGCCGCCCCTCGTCCGGCCCCGCACTCCCCGGCTTCCTGGAGCCCCGGGCCCGAGAAGGCTCCGGGCGGGGACGGGCTGGGGGTGTCGCCACCCCTCCCGACGTCAGAGGCGCCCTGGGCCGAGCGGTCGCCAGCGCGGGGGGCGGGCCGGCTCCCGGGGCTCCTGCATCCCCGCCCCGCCCCGGGCCCCGGGCGCCCGGCCGGATGGGCTGCACGGTGAGCCTGGTGTGCTGCGAGGCGCTGGAGCCCGGGGCCCCCGGCGGCCCCCAGCCCCCGGGGAGCCCCCCGGCCCCGGCGCCGGCAGAGTGCCGGGAGCCCGGGGAGTCCGTCCGCGCTGAGAGCAGGCAGCGGCTGCTTCAGGTAGGGCGCTGCGGGGGAGCGGGGGCGCCCCGAGCTCGGGAGCGGGTGGCGGGCAGTCCAGCTCACCTGAGACAGGTAAGGAGCTCAGCCAGGAAAGGGCCGGTCGGCAAAGGCAGGCGGCCTCAGGGGCATGGACTGGCCAGGACCTGGTGTAGGGGCGGTGAGTTAGGCTGAGGTCTCACCTGGGTCTCTTGTGTCCTTGGGAGGAAGGTGAGGGAGGGAGGACCTGACCGCTGGAAGGCCAACAGCTCAGGTGAGCTTTAGGGCTGGGAGAGCTGGGGGAAGGCACTGCCAGACTGAATGTCCTGGGAGCTGGTGTCCCTGTGGACTGTGTGTCCCATGGGCAGCTGTGCCTGTTGTCACTGACCCAGGCTCTGTAGCCGGGAGGGAGGGGGCTGTGTGAGCCAGGGAGGGCCCCACCAGAGTGAGGGCTGAGCTGAGGCTGGTGGGGGCAGCTGGACCCTCCTCCTGCATTCTCTGTTCTGGCCCAGGCTAGGCTGGGGCTGGGAGGTGAGGCAGGTGCTGGTTTTGGATGGGGCATCTGTCCCGGAACCACCAGGCCTGACATAGGTGTGGATCTTGGATTTCTGCGACGAGGAGGAGGAGAAGAAGGGGGAGGAGGAGATAGCTGGGGTCCCTAGGGACTAGATAACTCCAGCGTAGGCCCCCTGCATCATCCCACCTGCCTTCCTGGTGGGGGCTGTGAAGGCGGCATCCTCCTGAGGTTTGTTAGCTATGTGGGGTCTGGATTATGCTGGTCTCGTCCATGCCTCCACCGGGGCACCGGGAGTTTGGGCCACTCAAGCTGTACCCTGCAGCCACATCCCAGCCTCCTCCGCCCTCTTCACTGGGACAGCCAGTGAAGCAGCTGTGTGTGTGTGTGTGTGTGTGTGTGTGTGCAGAGGGGATCCCTCTGCCGCACTTGACGGGACGCCCCTCCGGGGCACGGATATGGCATACTCATGGTTACCTTCCCCAGTGCCAGGTGTGGGGCTGCCCTTAGATACTGAACTCTGTGTCCTTCCCAAGCTCTGACCCGGTCATTCCCACAATGACCGGCCACGGTGAGGGCCAGGCTCAGTGGGGCACAGTTGTGGCCTGAGCCCTCTTGGTGGCTGGTGGCCCAGGTGTGACCCTGATGGAGGCCTGAGCCTCACTTAGGGTCCTGGGGTAGGACAAGGCCTGGGGGTGTCAGCGGGACACCCCAGACTACTGCTTCTCAGTCTTGGCAAAGGGGCAGAGAGTGAAGGTGACATGCAGCACCCCTCGCCTAGGGCCCCTCCAGAGGTTGTTAGGCCTCCTGCCAGACCTCAGAGCCTCTGAACCCTCCTCTGTCCTCGATGGCTTCAGGGGGAGATGAGTTCACAGCTCCCCTCCCTTATCTGTTCCTACCTCAGACCCTTCTAGACTTTACTCTTTCTGTTGGTGGATCTCCTTCATTCCCCCATCTCCCTGACTCCTCCACTCCCTGTGTGGCCAGCTGTGGGGTGGGTCCAGGGGGCTCCCCGGGGGTGGGTGGGCACAGGGTCAGGCAGCCAGGGCTGAGATGGAGGAAGGCTCCAGGGGCACTGGAGGTGGGTGATGAAGGAAGGGGGAGGGGAGTGTGTGCGTGGGTGTGCGACAGCCCCTGGGACAGGAATGGGGACGAGTGTCTGTCTGCATTCGGATGAGCTGGTTTCTGAGCGGCCTCTGGAGAGAGCGGGCACTCGCTGTGAGTCATCCCTGCTTTATCTCGGGTGGAACTCTGTCCTGCCCGAGCCCCCCGCGCCCCTGGCTCTGGCTGCCGTGGGGGAGGTGCACTGGCCGCTCCCTGCCCTTGCCAGGCCCCTCCTTCACAGTGCCCCTCTCGGGAGACTTGAGTGACCCAGGACCGTGCTGCCAGGCAGCCTGCCACTCACCGGAGGAGGCGTTCTACCACGTTCTTGTGGTGGATAGACATCTCTGGGGCGCTCAGTCCCCCTCAGGAGTCAGGGCTTAGAAGCTACTCAGGCATCTGGGCTCCCGGCCAAGGCACTCCCACCCACAGGCCTGCCACCTAGAAGCCACCATCCTGCCACAGACCATGCCCCTCCCCCCCGTTCCACAGGCCCCGCTTCTCTCCTTGGGGCCCAGGCTGCAGCCTCGTCCTCTCCGCTCTGCTCTGGGCCGCCCTCTCTGCCCAGGCCACACTGCCGTCCTCTCCGTGCATGCTGTCCCCACTCACGTCCCCTAAGCAGGCTGTCCTCTGCTCTCGGACCACATTGCCCTCCTGTCTCTGGGGGCCTGTTGTGTCCCCCCAGGTCCCATTGCCCACACTACTCTCCTCCCTGGCCCGAGTTTGTGGCCTGCTCCTCTGCTTTGAGGAGGACGCCCCAGCTCTGAGCCCCTGCCCTGGGTTATTGGAGCCTGGAGGTGTAGTCCTGCAGCCCTCAGGTGGACTCCTCAGGGCCCCACGCTTGCCCTATGCTCTGAGCCCTCCTCTGGTCCTATGCGTCAGCCTGCCAGCCTCGGGAGAAGGGAGGGTGGGGCTTGGCCCCCGTCCTGAGCATTCCCGCCAAACCTCCTCTGACCCGGGCGCCAAAGGGCCCGGCGGGCATCTCCAGGTGCCAGCCTCGCCTCCTCGCTCTCTGCGGTATCCCAGGACAAGTGGGTGCCTGTCGGATGGTGGCGGGAGCAGAGGGGAGGAGGCCCTGGGCGGCTTCTGCTTCCTTGCTGAAATCCAGCCCCTGGGGTCAGTTCATCTGGCCTGGGCTCCATGGCCCAGAGCCCTGTCGAGTTCAGGTGCTCCCCAGGGAATCGGGTCCTGCAGCCTCCCCAGCATGCCTGGTGTGAGGTCCTACACCTCCCATGGCAGTTCTGGGGGCTGGTCTAGCTCCCCCTACTGTGGGTTGGATTACTTCCTCTCTCTCTTTAGTTGTATATAGTCACAGACCCCCAGCACCCAAAGGATCTTGGTGAGTGGTTCTGAACCTTGTGGGGTCACAGATCCCTGTGAGAATCTGATGAAAGCTGTGGATGCACTTGCATGCACACACCCACACACACACAACGTCACATAGCTGCTCAAGCCCACCCATGGTCCTGATCCATCCAACCTCTGCATTGCACCAATGAGCACACTGAGGCCCAGAGAATGGAAATTACTTGCCCAAGGCCACACAACAAGCGAGTGGCAGAGCTAGGACCACACTCCAGGTGTCCCGACCCCAGACAAGTGGGGGCTTTGTTCCCAGAGGCAACTTTTGCCTTCCCCAAAGGCTGCGGCGAGATACGTGGGCCGGGCCGTTCATGTGGTCAACAAATGTTTTTTTTAGTTTTCAGGTATTACCTTCATTTTTAATAGAATTAATAGAACTTATTTCATTGTAAGTTTAGTATTTTTTGAAGTTTGTTTTTATGGAGATAGAATTGACATATAACACTGTAAGTTTCAGTCGTACCACGTGTTGATCTGATACACTCACATATCGCATGTGGTTACCACCGTAGTGTTAGCTAACACTTGTTTCACGACACGTAATTATCATTTCTTTTTTGTGGTGGGAACAATTAAGATGTGGTCTCTTAGTCAACAGCATTTTTGAGCACCTGCTGTAAGCCAGGCTTTGAGCTGGGAGCTGGGGACAGAGCAGGTGAGCAGATGGCTCCTGCTCCTGCCTTCAGAGAGGGTGTCGATCCAGCGGGAGAGAGAGAACAGAGTGCAAACAGGGAATCGCACAAATAAATGCATTGTTGGAAACAGCGCCATGGAGAAGTAAAGGATGCAATGGGAGCTCCCAGAGGAGTCGGGCTTTGGTTGAGAGGGAGGAGGAAGTGGCGTTGAAGCAAAGAGCCGAAGTGCAAGTAGAAGGTGGTGAGGAGGAGCATTCTAGACGGTGGGAACAGCACACTTGAAGGTCCTGAGATGGAGAAGAGTTGAGGCCTCTTCTGGAATGTTATGGAGGCTTTCTGTGGCTGCTCCTGGCTTGCCCTGAGCCCTGCCATCCATGCTGTGTGCATATGGATTGGAGGGGTGACGGGCGAAGCGAGGAGGACCGGGGGTGGGGGGGTCATGGTCATCTGGGGAGAGACGATGGTGATTTGGGTTAGAGAGGTGGCGGGCTGGCATGCTGGGGCGTGAGGCCAAGACTGATTCCTGGAGAAGGGACAGGAGGCGGAGATGACCTGGAGGTGGGCTGAGGGGGAGCGGGAGGGAGGAGGACCCTCCTCATCTTATAAACATGGTAGCTGAGAAGGCTTCGTTTTAGTTTTGTGAAGTATTTCACAAATACAGAAACGTGCAGAAACTTTTCACAAACTGAACACACTTGTGTACCCAGCACTCAGTCAACAGGAGGGCATTCCCAGCATCCGAAAGTCCCTCTTCCTGCCCCTTCCAGTCTCTAAGTCCCCTCTGAGGGTCATTCACTCTGCTGACTTTTAACAGCGTGGATTTGCCTGTTCTAGAACTTCTGACAAACAGAGCACGCCATGTGTGCTGTTTTGTGTCTGATTATTTCTTTTGTTCAACGTCGTGGTTGTGAATTTCACCCAGAGTCTTGCGTTCGGCTTTGGAGGCCCCTTCTCATGGCTGGTGCTCCATCACGTGGAGATAGACAACTTAGTTATCAGTCTGCTACTGACGGGAATTTGGGTCATTTCCAGTTTGGGGCTGTTGCGAACGGCGCTGCTCTCAACATTTTCCTGCCTGACTTTTGGTGACTATGTTCTAACTTCTGTTGGGTGGGTTTATCCCTCTGTTTCGATGGGTGTCTCTGGGAGACCCAAGAATCTCCAGAATCAGAGGCGTCCTTCTATGGAGGGAGCCCTTGGGCATCTT